GGGATTTTCAGTAAAGCTGCCTGCAATCTTCAGCTGATTGTGAGGGAGTGGTTTGGGTCGACAGTACATAGATATATCAGCCTTCTAACAACGTAGTCAAATATATCTCCCATCAGCATCTTGAAATAGTCAGTGAGGAGACTACTAGCTTCCCTTCTTGGTATTATTTAAATAACACCAAGCGTGTTCTGTACATCTGCACGAGATCCAAAGTCTAGAGAAGTCACTGTCAAGCAGTATCCATATTGAAGGAAATAAAGTACTTATCCATTCAAAACCCAAGAAACGCAAGGGGAAAAATAATTTTTCATGTCTGCTTGATAACCGAAGAAAACAAAAAGTGAAATACAGCTTTTAAAATACATACTCCCTTACAATAATTTAATAAACTGTGCTGTCACCTCATAAAGAATCGGGTGGTTGCCGTGGTGACAAAGATTATCCTTGCTGCTGTTTGAATCTGTAGTTTTTCTAAACATAAATTCATAATATTTAGGATTTATTAACAGTGTGTCACATTGATAGAGATAAATTACATGCTTTAAACTGGCCATGTAAGTCTTCTATGATATTATAGCCGCTTTGTCAACTGAGCAATAAGATATGATGTGATTACTAGAAAATTAAAGCTATTTGTCATAAAAGATGAAACAGAGAGTATCAACACTCTCAGAACAGAAAAAAAAAATCTCCAATAATCTAATGTGTTTCCTGATTTTAAATATTTTGGAGTTAGCAAAGTGTCACTGTTTTCTGTCTTGTAAATTGATCAAGATCAGCATATATTGAGACCAGATTTATTTCTACTGGGAAAATTTAGGTTGTAATATATCAGAATCGATGTGTTCAAGGCTGCAACTTTTTATGATGGCTCAAACTTTAATGGGGAGCTTGTGAAAAGATCTTAATGATGGCACACTTTGCAATATACAAAAGTATATATACACAGACACTTAGGTACTATGAGGATATATTTCACTTCAAGGAATTTGTGTGGGGTTTTTTGTGATGTGTGGTATCCTAATTGTAGCAGCAAGTTAGAAGAGATTCTCAGTGCGGCTGTCTAGAATGTATTTTTGTGTACCTTACTGAAGTACTTGTGTCAAGTGAACTTCACTGCTGATACAACGTGAGGCTAATTTAGATGGCTAGCTCTTCAGTCATTGCCTCATACATATTTTGCAGTCAAACTAGCAATAAGAAATTGTCTAAAACCACAGTAATGTTAAAAGCCTTGTTTTGAAATAATAAAGGTTTACACTTATTTTTTTCAAGAAAAAAAAAAGGCCTATTTTCTGTAGTGAGACACATAATAGATGGATAGATGGTGGGAACCCAGCAGAGCTCAGGCATCTTAAGACAAACAAGGAATATGTGTCTGTGTAGATGACTGCCTGAAGAATGTGGTTTATCACTTAGTGGGCCATATTCATCTCTATGTGAAAGATGACCTCTTGAGCTGGGTGAGATATGTCTTCACTGTATGTTGCAATGCAGAGGAAGTGATTCGGTTTTCTTTAAATGCGCCAAGACAGGGTTTGGAGGCAGTCTGGAACAGCAGCATGGAGAACAGCTCAGATGTGTTCAGAATCAGGGAGCAATCCTCCAGCTGTTCTTGTCTTGCACCACTCCTGCCATTTACAGTACCTAAATTAGTTTATGCATCCTTTTAAGCAGAACAGGCAGGAAAAGTTTGGAAATCCAGAAACTGGATTCTCTCAGTTGATAGGAAAATAATTCTCACGTAGTTTCAGAAAGAAAAATTGTCCAAGCTCAGCTGAAATACAGTAAATCAATACGGCATGACTTCTTCCTGATCACAACCTTTGAGGTTCACAGAACAATAAATGAACTACACACCCAGGCTGCAAAGAACAAGATGGAAACTGAATAAAAAATCCTTTTATCTTAATGACATCATATAATTAGCTTAGTTATGCTACTACACATTAGTGGCTAACAGTGATACATATTTTGGCCTTTGTTACCCTTTATCTCGGTGAAATAATGTTCTTTTCTCCTGAAGACAATGTGGGCTGATGCCATAGAATAATTATATTTCTTGCAAACCAGACACGATCAAATAGTGTCCGATAAAAACATTCTGTATTGTTTTCAAGGACCTACGCAAAGATCAGAGTCTTGGGGAAGGAGAATACCATTTTCTACTGGATCTCTTTGGCAACATGCATCTTGTTACAACCTGAGCAAATAATTAAGGGTCTAAGTGGAAGAGTTCAGTCATCTTCAATAGGCATTAAAGCAGCTCCTCAGACATGAGACAGAATATGCATATCTTTCTCTGTTAGATTACTTTTGGGGCTACTGTTCTTGTTGTTTAGATCCTGCAGACCAAACCTAACCCTAAAATACAAGGAGGCATCTCTCATGGAGTCTAGCAAGATTTGCATGTGTATTTGTCAAAGACTAATTTGATCTGCTATTTTATACCAGTTTCCTATTACAGAAGATATATGCACAACACCATAAATCTGGCACTCTGTGTGGTCTCAATTACTTTATTGTGCACCAGTAATAAACAGCCTTTAAATTTTTGCCACTGCATGCAAAGAGTGTTATGCAAGTTTGATTTAATTCTGGTTTGCCTCTTGTCAAATTCAACATTTTGCCTTTTCAATATTATCCTGGTTTTGGTGCAATAAGGATAGTAGGAAAAAATCAGTTACACACATACATAGCAGTAATTTAATATCAAAGTCACAGGTGAGGAATTTTGTTTAAAAGAGGTGGCATAACAAGGACAGGTGAATACCATACCACTTCCTCTTCTAATAAGGCAGTTCTCAGTGCCTTAGTATACAGCATGATTAAAATGAGTCATTCTCTGAGACAACGATCCCTAACCTGGGAACTTTTATCTCTGTAATTTGTATACAGCATTGAGTCTACATTTTATTGTGTGTTGGAGCTACCAACTCAGTATGTGAGCTTAAAAAAATTTAGACGATGTAGTAAAAAGAACATTTTTTTCCTTTCAAAGGTAATTTGGAAAACAAAATACTAATCGTGGTAAACAACTCAAGAGACATACAGAAAAATATTTAGTAAAAGCATGTTTTTTCTGATATATGACCAACATGTGTTAATGTATACCTGTTACAGATCAGCAAAACCTATTCTTCATTTTAAAAGTAACTATTGCTCAATTAATAACATAATAATTATAAAGTTATGTAATGTTATGCTTTTTGTCCATATATATTGTCTGTGGATAAAATTGAACCTTATTGTATATAATTCTGAATATGTGAATGATAAAGCCATGGCTCTGCTATAATATTTGATGTTCTTAGTTATTTTTCATTACAAGAATGCATCTGATATTTTTGTGTGTGAAAATTATTTTAGTATTGATAACTCTACATTGCATTGCTTTCAGAATTTCATAAACAGAAACCAGAGAGACTTGAAAAACGAACACCACCAAAGGGTAACTTTATTTTTTCTTTCTGTTCATCTATATATATTTATGTAATATACATATTTGTTAACTACATACATTACCACTATTGTATTATAGAAGCATTCAAAGATCAGTTGGCACAGACAGTAAATGACCAAAAATTCATTTGTACCTTAACATTAACAAATAGTGTCATTTTATGTTTGTGTGGCTATATTGTAAATGCACATTTGTAATAAGACTCTCCTGCCCAAAGTTATCCAGAGATCGTTTTTGTAGCAAAGGTGCAGGAAAGCAGAGCGCTGATGAACTTCCTCTGGTGCAAAAGCCGTGAAGTGTGTTGGGCAAGGAAGAAAGCAAATTTATAGGCCAGTGGGTGCCATCCAAGTTAGGAAGTCATAGTTAACAGTGAGCCAGGTGTGTATCAGAGATAAGAAAAGCCTTCATTTTAAGAACCTACTCTGTTTTCAAACTGTTTAATCTCCTTTAACTGGCACTTTCCAAAAATCCACAGAGGAACTGGTTTGGACTGGTTTTCAGAGGTCATGTAAACAAAGAAGTTTCCTGGGATATGTGCAGATTTTTTGCCTAAGAAAGCCTTCTCTGTAAACGTTAGGCCACATAAAATTTGATGAGTATCTCTCTGATGCACCAGTGCTGTGCTTAGTAATGGCAGGAGGAAGCAAGAAGGAAACTTATTAAAAACAGTGTGTATATACATACACCCTCCCTCATACAATTATATTCATTTCTGTATATATTCTTCCTATGTTTTTATATCATATTACACCTTTACTGCTAGCTTTCCAGTTCTGTGCTAATCAGGGTCATCTGGAGTGCCTAGAACTGCTTCCCAACTACTTCATATATTATGTTGTATGAACACGAATTTTTTAGGGTATCAGTGGTCTAGCCCGGAAATAATGAACTTGGATCCATTAGGAAGGGATCTCTCTCAGTTAAAGGTATTCTCAAGTACAGAATTCTAAATACCCAAATGAAGAAGCCCTGATCAAAACAGCTTCTTGTATACCATTTCATCTATACAGAAGTCCATTGCTTTACATAGAGGAACATTAGCATTGCAGAAATGATTACTAAGAAGTTATAAGATGTCAGAAAAAAGACATCCAGGTGTCATTGTAAGTGTCTTCATGCATATGCTCGATAATACAGTCTTTAATTACAAAATCACTTAGTGAAGTACAGGACAAATTTTTTTTTTCTATTTTTTGTTTTCATTTTTAGTCCCAAAAGTGCATCTTGTACATAGGAGGAACAATTACTAGAAAACATTCTGTCTGGCCTCATGCTAAAGCATGATAAAGGTGTGAAACTTTAGGGAGATTTACTGTTACCTTCTAAAGTACCTCCAGGAAGCACGTACAAATAAAATGTTTTATTGTTTTTAATAGGAAAAATCTAGACGTAAAATGAATGTTTTTAATAGAAGCGAACACCCCAAATAATTTCAGTCCTCCACCTAAAATTATGGGGACACTTTAGTTTTAAAAATAATTTAAAGTATATTTTTGAGTAGTCAAACCCCTTGAATCTGAGTCCCAAGATTTACAAGGGAGTTCCATCCATAAGTCTTATTTTGAAAAGATTGTACTGAAATACGAAGAATCGATACAATGAATGGAAATCCCAGATGGAAGTGGCTGGAATTATAAGAAAGGTTCTTATAGTATTAAGAGCCAGGCAAACTTGTGCCCTAAAATTTGCTTTTAATTAAATATTTTGATAAACTACTAGTAATAAAGTCCATTTCAATTACTGTACTTCGTCAAATTAATCCTGAAAAGAATAAATACTCTGAGAAATGATTCAACAAAGCATTTGCTCATGCTTAAGAGCAATGATATTAAATTATTTCATGATTACGTGTACACATAAGCACAAATTCCTTACAAATAGGGTCTTTCCAGTTTGGTATTTGATGTATTTGTACTTTCACAAGGGCCAACAGCACCCTGGACCGAGCAGGAGCTCAGCTAGTCAGTGGAGGTAAGGGATTAATTGTCACCCTATACTCAGCTCTCATGAGGCCACACCTAGATATTGTGCCCAGTTCTGGGCCTCCCAGTTCAGGAAAGTCATCCATGAACTGGGGCGAGTTCAGTGTGGGGACACTGCGATGGTCAAGGCTGGAGCAGTTGTCCCGAAGGGAGAGGCTGAGGGATGGGGCTGTCTCAGCCTGGGGCGGCTGTCCTGTGAGTCTGTCATTTTGTGACATACACAGACTTTGCAAGACTGAGATGCTGCCACCGAAGGCTGTTTAAGAAAGTAGGTGTTATAATTGCTATATACTGTTACTGTCAATGAATAAGAGGTAATCATGTGATACTTTGACAACAGGGAAGAACAATAATAAAATATACCAAGATAAAAGTACGTATAGGTATATAATATCGGTCTAATGGGAAGTCCAATGATAATGACTGATAATTTTTGATTTTTATGGAAAACTGATATTAGCAGTGAAATTAATTGTCCTGCATTTCTGGGACATATCTTTTAATACAAAAGGCATTGAGAAGGAATGGGAAAAGAGTGATCTACTGTGTGTTTTTTTTCCCAAATACACTTCACTAATACATTTCTGTTGGAGTGAGGGATGGAAGAAGACAATGCAATGATGATATTCTACCTCTGACAGACATACATTGAATCACAGTGATTTTAGGACAGATATTAACACTAGCCTGTCTGTTTTTTTGCAGAAATTATCTCTGAATTCAGACTGATCTGACAGATTCCTGGCCCTTCAAAACTTTTTCATTTACAATGCATAGCACATATCTGTCCCCCCTACCCCTATTGACTTGTTAACAGGGCCGTACTGATAATGTAAATATTAAACATCACAGAATAAAGCTGTCTGTATTCTAGCATATAGATAAATTTTGAGATTATAAAGACAAACATAATATGTCCCCATAATTTAATTTCCTATATAGCTGGAAGACAAGGTATTTAAAACAGCTAGATAGATAAACAGAGCTGGACCATACAAATCCACAGTATACTGGAAACCCACATAAATTGACAAAATTAGCAGGTTAAATGGCATATTTATGTTTGACACAGGGGCTGTCTACCCTGATTTCTGGATGTACGGCTACAGAGATACCTGAGTTAACTTTAAACTAGGTAACATGGTACAAATAGCAACATAGCTGTAGTGGCTCAGGTACAGCTGTCAAGAATTTATTTAGCTGTATGGGCTTACAGCAGCCTAGGGTGAAGCCAATGCTGTGGGCAGTTTTATTAACACCAGTAGATATCAAACCTACATCTCAGTTAGGATGGATATAACGCCGCCTGACTGCTGCAATTAAATCGAATTTTAAGTTGTGCAAATATGTAACTCATGAGACATTGTCTTGCTCTTACATAGGCATTTACACTCAGTGTTGAAGGACTAAATCCAGCGCAGGGTTAGGCGCCGCAGTGAGCAGAGTGTGCATGTCTGGTGCTGGTTGACCTGAGCAAACAGCGGCAAGCCTCTTCCCCCTTCACAGGTAGTTGAGGTGATTTGTAGTGAGTGCAGGTGCCTCCACAGTTCATTCATTTCTGGGATTTCCTTAGATTATTATTTTGGACCTAGAAGCATGTGCCTCTCTCCAGATCCAGCCTTTTCTTTTTTTTTTTTTTTTTTCCTCTGCAGTGTTGCCTCAAGAAGAATTAAGTCATAGTCATCTAAGGTTACTTTACTTCTGAATAAAAGCATCTACACAGAGATTTAATGCTCCCTGACTAATGCACTCTAACTTCATTGTATTAGTTCATTTATCTTAACTTTCCCATGTGTTGCTCTGTAGACAAGCACTTAGTCAGTTAGCTGGAGCAAGCAATCTCTGCTTCATGCTTACTGCACTCATCACCTAGCTTTATACTAAGCATCAGACTTAAGACTTACTCAGCTGGAAACTATTTGTACTTCCCTTAGGTATGGAATTAGTGCCTCCTTATTACATCTCTTCTTTTTGCACTGGATTTTTTTGGAGTAGGGAATGTCTGTGTCTCAGACACTTTAATGAAGAAAAACTGAATTGCATCCTCCCTCACTATGTCTTCCACTTGGTGCAAATCAGATATACTATTAGATGATTGGAATTTGGAAAAATGTCTGACATATATGTTATGCTTCCTGTCTTAATTTTATGTGAATTAGATAACAATATTCTTAATGATTAAGTTTGGAATGCATCATTAATTACCTTAAAATTTTCCATTATAAACTCCTTTTTTAAACTATTTATAAATTTACCACACTCCAGTCACTGAGGATGAAATTTTTCATGCTCATCTTTTTGCCTCAGGCTGAATTTTCATTCAAAGTCATATAAAAATGTTTCAGCAATTTCCAAAATCTAGGTTAGTGAAAATTAGGTTGGGGTGTTATATTTTTTCCAATGCTAATAACAGTTCATCTGAGTTTATGCTTTTTGGGTATTTGCAAGGAAGTCCAAGAAAATTTCTTTAAGTTGTGGGTAAATTTTAGCTTACAAAATTGACATAAACCTGGTTTTATTCTTCTTATTTTTTCTGGATGAATCTAGCATCCTAATAAAAAAAGAGGTGATCTTTTAATTACAAAGTGGGTCATAAAGCAAATAAAATGGTTGAATTAAAGTTGAATGAGCAGTTTTAGTTCCAGCATTTTTCAGCTGAAGTGCTTGACATAGCAGCCTTAAAAACATTTGTATGTACTTTCTCTTTTTTTATATGCAAAAAAAAATCTTATTTAATGTGATTTGTTTCACAGAAACACGGTAGTATGTGCAGCCTGGCTTATTTCTAAAACTTAATGCTTGCACCAAAGTGCTGCGGGCTTGAAAAAAAGGCAAGTATTAAGGCCTTTACAAAGAAATAGATATCCAAGTGACAAAATCTGGAAAACATCTGCAGATAGTGAACTATTTTCTATGACAGAGCTGTTAGGACTACATATAAAGCTAAACATGAAAGCATTTCAGGGGGAAGAAACAGAGTTAATATGCAAAAGAGGAATCCTATTTAAATTTGTCAGATCAAAAGCCTCAGTGGACTTTTGCGGCCCTGCTGCCCTGTGCTTGAAGAGCCAATAATGGCCAATCATCACAGACCTGAAACATGAACCCTTTGTTTTTTGGCAAGACCTTCACTTCCCCGATAAGGTTCTACCCAAAAGCCATAGCTCTGACAGTGTCTCTAAGAGGAAATGGTAAACATTACAACCTGAGATTAGCAAACTCTGAGGCTGTGAGGTTATCAACACGCAGGATAGAGCTCTTGAACTAGCTGGAGTCCGCCTTCAGCCTATCATTGGGAAGAGAAAAATAGATTTTGCTTATGCCAGCCTGATCTCTGCTTGTCCACATTCCAGGCTCCCTGCCTAGATAAATCAAGTTACTTTTATTTCTCAAGAAGAAGCCAACTGATCGCTTCTCCAGTTTTAGCTTGGAGTACACACAAATATTAATATTCCTTGCATTTTAGCCCTTTATACCATTCTGATGATGTGAAGGAACCTTAAATTAGATTCTTCTCTCCACTTTAAGGCCTGCTGACACTCAATTCAGTCGGTGTCATTCAAGGCTCATTTTGGTCTTTTTCCAAAGCATGAAATAGGAAAATGCCATGGAGAGACTAGAATAAATTAAAACAAACAAACAAACAAACAAACAAACCACAACAATCTCCCTTACACAAGTAAGATACTCTGTGGCTAAAAACAAGCTTTCTGATTGCCAGTCTGTTCTGCATAGTTCAGGCGTAGAGGCTACATGGGCTTTTGTCCGATGTACAGAAGTTCATGTTTCACTGCCATTGACCATCACAGAGCTATTGCTGGCAAAGCTGTTCTATTGCCCCGTCCAAAACTGACAACACACTGTCTCAAAGTGTTTTGCAAAGAGCTAGCACCTGCTAATACAAATGTGAGATGTGAAAGCACGCTACTTTCCGCAAAAATATACAGTCTTAAATTCTATATGGTATAGGTAGAGAGGAGAGTAGTTTTCCTTGCCATGTTACTAGATGTCCTAAAGCGATTGAATGAGTCACAGTCTGTAATTCATTCAATAATATGTTGCTGGTGCTGCTGTGTTCTTCACAGCCTGTTTTTTTCAGTGTAAATTTGCTGTCCACATTTCTTAAAGGCTTTGAAAAATCTCCCTTCAATCTCTTTCCACTGTACTGCTAATTATTATCAACAATAATTTACCTGTTATGACTGGAAATGTATACCGATAATGCAAACAGACATTATGAAATTACTGAATGTTTGGAATGATTTTTCTTAAAGACATGGACATATTTTTTTAATGAGGAAATATCTAACCAACAGAAAAATGCTGCACTCTGTGAAATGACATTTGCTGCGAATCTGGTGAAATGAATGTATGCAAAAACATTACCGTGCTTGTGTATAAAGCTCACAGTTGTTTTCTAATCAGAGTTGTATTTTCTGTGGTTTACTTGTTGACAGAAATTTGGGTATTACAAAGAAAGTATTTTTCCCTTAAATAGCAAATCACTAGTCTTTTAGTAATAGAGGGTAACAAGGAAGGTTTTTGTCTATCTAAAGCATTAGGATGCGTAATGTCCAAAAACATGGTCTGAAAGTTGGGTGAGCAATAGAGTCCGTAAGGATTCATGTTTGCCTGCTCCTAACGGGACGTGTAGTTGGTTGTGTTTTGAACAGCTGTTCTTCCTGAAGTTATGCTCTGATTAAAAGAGATGTCTTGTTGTTAATCCATCCCATGGCTGAAGTAACAGCTAAAAATAATTTAAAAAAGAGCACAGAAAGCAATATGGTAGCTATTTTTTGTTAAGAATAGAAATCAATGTTGTCAAGGACAGAAAATAATTTCCTCTGTCAGAAACCTTAGAGTCAGGTTGCTTGTGTAATGGGAGGACCAAAAGAGATCCAACAGATTAGATTAAAATTGCTGAATAATCACTTATTTAGCAAAAATATAGTCTAACATCTGAAGGCTTATTCAAGGAAAATATTTCTCTTGGACCTGGAATTACATATTGAAATTAAAAAGGCCTATAGATCATCTAGTATTTGTGACTCAGAGCTAAAATCTATTATTTGAATTTACAAATATTTTTCTTCGATCACTTTTGTGAAACAATAAGTCTACATAATACCTCCAGATTAAAGATTTATTATGGGTTTTCTTTTATTATTTCTAGTAATTCACAGAGACAAACCTGAAAAGCAAGAAAAAATTGAAAGGAAGGAACCCCTAAAGGGTACGTATTCAGCATTTGATGTTCTTTGTCTTTTTACCAGTGGTTCAAAACAGTCTAATCTATTGACTTTTAGACCCTTCCTGTAAATCTCAACTATGTTTAAGAATGGAGGAGGTAGTGTGAAAGCCAGCTGGAAGGAGAATGAGGATTTTAAAAGCACTTTGAACTCATCACTCTGCAGAAAGGCTAAAATTATATTTGGAGATTAATGAATAAGTTTTTGCTGTATTATTAACTTATGTAAAAGATGCCCGGAGCATAATTAGGTACCTTTTTTATGCTTCTTAAACAAATCCAAGCATAATATTTGTCTTTGGGAATACTTCTGAGCAAAATATAATGAGTAAATTGTAACATACAGGGTCTAGTCTGTGGAGGCATTGTACCTCAAAGGTGTACCTTAGAAAAAAAAATTTCCCCAGACCCAATTAAAGGACTTTGGGGAGAGGGTGTTAGAGAGGATTCATTAATTTGCTGTTGGTGTATGCCAACAACAAATTACAGATCTGCCTGTTGCAGGAGTCAGAATTAGGATACTGCTTCCTGTCCACCCACGACTCATGAGTAAGTTCTGGGCTCCAAGAGACACCATCTAGTTTGCCTTTTGTGAGGGATTTTTGGCAAAATGGAATTTTGTTGGAACATACCTCATCAAAACACTTTAAGATTTCTGAGAACATGTTCTTTACATAATAATGCAATTAATGAAGTCTCAGGCTGGAGGAAGAAACCTATGCTGGAAGAGCAAATCGGCCAATGGTATTTTGAGGTAGTAAATCACCTCAAAAAGGGAAGACCCAATATCCAGCCATGACTGATTTATTTCAGACCAAGAACATGAGTCTCACAACCCAAGTGAACATGCAGCTTTCTGAAATATGTGCTTAACTAGGCCTTTTTGATAGTCTCTGATTGGAATTTTTCCATTTTACACAAATAGTTTGTAATACATTGAGTTAGCAAGACTGACTCTAGAGGTTAAAGGCAGACACATAAGTTCAGATTTCTATTAGAATGCATATTTATTACTAGAAAAATTGAATGGTGTTATCAGGAGGATTTTTTCCTGAGATTTGGAAAAATGATAGAGCAAAGACTATAATGTCCCATATTAAAACATGAATGTGTCATTAAGACTCTCCTGTTATTTTGTGGAAATCTTGTGAAACTCTTCAACTTTATTTGATAGGAGAACAGTATTTAGTATTTTTAAAAGTTTCTTAGAACAGGAAAAAATTATCCCAGCCAATCTCAGCCAACCAAGAATAATAAATATTATTATACTGCCTTATCTTGTCATAAGTCCTGCTAATATTCTGTCTACCTAACTGTATTTTGTCTTAAAGTGAATGTGTTACTTAGTGTTGTTTAGTGAACTGTTGCTGGAATTGCTACTAAAACACTACTGTGTATGGAGAGTCACTGTATTCACAGTGCTAAGAAATATTGTTTTCAGACTATACATTATATTTTAAAACTATGACTATGGATATGTGTCTTTCCAAGGCCCATTTTATTGTAGTGTGACTGGGAGACTCCAAAGTTTCACTGCATTCCTGTATTTTAACTGCTTTTTTCTACCTCAAATACCTTCTCTTTTCAAGATTTAGATAACGGATAGGGTAAATAACATCCTATTCTAATTTCTAATCAACTTCTGTGATGAATTTTAGGTAAGTTTTCTAAATGACACAGAGAATAATTAGAAGTGTCTCAGTCATTTAGAAGTGACCTAGTGAGCTATGTGCAGAACTCGCTCATTCTCATATATTTCACCACTATATTGTTAAAAAAATCTGAGAATGGAAGTCATGGTACTGTAAAAGAACTTCTTTATTTTCTCATGTTTGACAAAGGAAGTTTTACTAAACTGGCATGAAATCTCCACAGGAGTTAGAGTTAAAGCTAACATGCAGTTTCACAGTTGATTTTTCTGAAGTGCTCTAGAATTCACATGCTTATTTCCCATTGTCTGGAAAATTAATGTGTAAAATCCTAAGAAAACTGAGTGAAAAATGTTATGTGAATGAGTGGATAGCATATTACAGTTTCCACTGCCATAATGTTAGTTTTTACTTTGCACATACTGGACATCTAATTATGGCTATGAGATCATCATTGCCAGGGACTGATCTCAGCTAGTCTCTGTATCCATTACTAGCTATCCATATCCATTACTGGTTATCCATTTCAACCCAACTGGGAAGTGACAGATGTGTCATTTGTGCGTATGATGCTTTTATGCTCCAGGATTGATTACAGGGTTTTTTGAGCCTCTGCCTGACAGAGTATGTGGCAACCCAGGTGATGCCCTCTTTCTAGTGCAGGCAGCAGCATTTACAGTAAGCTCTGCCTTAGTCCTTGACAGTTTTCTGAAAATCTCTCTTCAGGAATGGACAGATAATTGCAAGCGATGATGATACTGTAGTAAACAGCTGAGGCACGTTACCATGGCTTGGATGGTAAGCAGTGACTTCTTAGCCAGAGTTGTCCGCTGACACTCACGTGGTATGATGTACGCTGTGCAGATATGCACGGGATAGCTCAGGAGGATCACAGTTTGCCATTTTGTTTCCTAAGGCTTACCTTGGTAGAATTATTTTCATTCTTAAGTTTTTTCACAGTTTTTTTTTTAATATATATGGACACATTTCTTCTTTCCTAGTGACACATAAAGACAAACTGGAAAGACAAGAAAAACCTGAAAGGAAGGAAAGGCACGCAGGTAATGATTTAATGACAGAACTTATTTTACATTTTGAGGTACCCCCGAAATAATTTCTACTCAGTTTCCATTTATGTATCCGCTTGACTGGAAAAGGTGTTCTAGAACTTTATGAACAAAAATCACAATATCACATAAAGGTTTGCAGTCATACAGAATGCATAGCATTTTGTATTCCTTCTGCATGTTTATTGTTGGTTTTTTTTTTTCCTGAGGAAGGGAGATAATATATTTTATACTCTGGATTAATATAATCTCCCAGTAATCTCTGAGTATTTCCAACACTCACAGTAAGTATGGTTGCTAAGAGAATGTGGTCATCCAGGAAAAAACACCTGACAACCTGTAAACAAAGGTAATGAGGCAGGCCATGTGAAAAAAAAAAAAAAAAAAACAACACTGAGTAGGGTTGTTGCATAGACATTGAGTAGGGCAAGACTAATTCTTTAAGTAGTTACTTGCAATAAATAGGTATCTAGCAGTGATTTATCTTCCACAATTCTTACTTTTGAAACACCAGCACAAGTCTGGAAAGTACACAGCATCCATTTTTGTTCTTGATATAAACTCATATGCCAGAATCAAATTAGCAACTGAGCGTTTTCACACACCTGATCCCTGTAGGGTATCTCAGGGGATATGAACACATACAAATATCAGGTCTGCACACCCATGGACAAGTTACCGTACAATCATCAATCGCAAAAAATTAGCAAATTGGAGCCCACATAGAAGAATATTCCAGACTACCCACCACTCAGTGATTATTGCACAATTCAAGTGTATTCTGAAACCTGAGCCAGAAATCTAGTGACTACAGTGTACTTTATTTCAATTTGTAAAGTGGAAATTAAAAGCAAACAAAAAGCCCCAAAGAGCATTAGTTATAATGCCATTGCAATTAGATTTGTAATTAATTATAGTGTTTAATCATTCATAGCTGGAAAAACTGTTGTTGTGTGGTGGAGTTCAGAAAATCCTTCAGAAACGAACCAAAGTAATAAACAAGAAAGCTCAAAAATAACAATAAACCAAAAATAAACTGATAAATGGCAGTATAAACAAAACAAACAAAATGAACCAGTAAGCAACATAAATAAGCAAGACTATTCTTAACTAACTTCTTTCACGGGATTACAGTTGTACCAGAAATGCAGTTCCTCCCCCAGCTGAGGGGATGGCAGACGAATTTTTGAAAGTTCGAATCACATGTTTTGGCATCAACAGGAGACAGCAGCAGTTGAATCAGTCTTTCTGGTTCTTTGCATGGATAGCCGTGGTACCTAGTTGTGTTTCTTAATGTTTTCTCCTTTTTTCTCACTTAAAATGCAACATTTCTCTTTTCAAATAACTGTTAATGTTATTTATTTCTAGCTATTCACAAAGAGAAACCTGAAAAGACAGAAAAACATGAAAAGAAAGCACCTTCTAAAGGTAATGCGGATTATTATTAGATGTTGTACAAATTTAGATTTTCAGTGCTTATATACTTTGAGAGAATGTGGAGATTTAAGATATAAAGCTCTTCTAGTTGATGCTGTACATTTTTTGTGTGCTCTCACTTTTGCTTGAGCAGATTTTGATCAGCCCCTGAGTGAACTCTTAATCAGCATATGTTTCTTGCTCAGTTCTCTTGTTTTCATGCACAGAGGTAATTATGAATCATTCTTGTGCAGCTAAAGAAATAAGCCTATGACTATTATATTTGCATTCCTTGGTGTCTTTTCCTCCACAATGGGATTCAGTAATTTGCCTGCAAAGGAGGCTTTCTCTTGTGTATCTGTTTTCAATCTGGTGCAGACCTAATGCGTAGCGTTTACTGTCTCTCAGCCTGGGTCTTCCATCACATCCAAAATAGATTTTAATTTTCTTGCCTTTATTTTTTTGCAATAATATTTTCATTTCAGTATATGATTTGTACTGTCCTCCACGGCAAAAGTGGCTTTGGTTAAGATTTACATATCTGCTAATTATCATATATATTCTGAAGTAATACCGTGTATGAGAAGTTATTTTCAGTATTCTTTTGACTGATAATTCCATCCATAGCCATGATTTGGGCAGGGGGATTTAAAAATCCAATCAGCTTGCCTTGTTATGCCATTTTTAAAGACTAACATTTTTTATTTCTTGGCATTTGAATGTTTTTACTCTGAGCTTTTCTTTTTTCTTTCTTTCTTTTTTTTTTTTTTTTTTACATGCATGGCTTTTCAAAAGCTAGATTATTTCTATAATGAAGTTAGATTTCAGTCTTTGCCTCTTCTGACTTTTATTCAGTCAACTCTTGAAAACAGTATTATGCACCGTATCTTAATATCAGTTTGTTATGACATTCAGATTAATCTCGTGATGATGTGACACATGAATTAATTAGGTTTAATTTGAGTCTGTTCAAACAATATAAATTCAAATGTACATATCAGTCTTTATTTGACTCGACCATACTGTAAGGAGTAATGTAAAACAGAAAGTAGGAGCAAAGAAAGAGAAAAAGTGGAATGAAGACTTAAAGCCTTAAAATACTTTCAAAGGTAGCCGTTGTCCAGACTCTCTTTTAAAGGCATATTTGGTCATTTTTTCCATTTTCAGTGTATAATTTGGAAGTGTAGGATTTTTTAATAAAGTGAAATCACACTGAAGTAATCCAGAAAAAATAAATGACCACGGTGTCTGTGTAGATTTGAAAAGTAAATAACTTCCAAGAATCACTGAGATTTTCCTAATGAGAAGCCAGCCTGTTTACCCATTTATCTTCTGCTAGCTAACCAAATAGTCACTTAGAGCTTTAATGTGTTTAATAGCAGCCATGATTCCAGTCACTGGCTGGGAAATTTTATGAAGAATTTGGCCACTTTGTAGCTAGGGAGATTTGCTGCTGTGGTGTGACGTGTCGATGTGCTACCCTTTCTCAAATAGTTTCCATGCCATGTGAGTCCCTATGGAGGGACTCAGTGTGCCAGGGCACTTGTTGCCCTCAGCACTTCCAAAGTCACATTTTTGCTGGCAGTGTGGTGCTGAGCTATCCATTGCCAGGCTCACCTCCTTTTTTTTCTGGGATCTGCTCTGAACTGGATTAGTTACCAGCAGTGCTAAAGGGCGATTTCAGCTACTTGCAGTTCCTAGGAAATGAGGAAGCCCAGGTCCAGGCCATCTTCAGGGAAGAGGCGTGCTGAAAATCAGGTGGCTACTTCCCTCACAGTCAGCAGTCGGCTCAATAAAATGGCTTGGGGTACTTCTTCAGCCCCTGTTAAAGGCTCCAGAAAGCCTCAGTAATATGAATGCTATTTAAACACATCATCTAAGAAACAGCCATCTCAAAAAAAGAAAACCAAGTCTAAATATCAATCATGGCTCATAGAGACAGCAATTCCAGACTGGAATTCAGTTAGAGAGGATGTTGATATTACATAGTTATCACTTGAAAGAAGTGTAATTAACTCTCAAGGCTTTTTTTTTCTGGCAATGTGTCTGGATGGCTACCAAGAAAGGAAAGATAGAAGTCTCTGCATAAAATTTTGACAGCCTTTCTGGGACACAGCCATGTGAGTTTACACAGTGTATCCTGTGCAGACATGAACTCGCTGGAGCTGGGCTCTGAAGTAAGCACCAGGCTTGTGGCTGTATTTGTATGATAGTGAGCGCACGCTAAGTACCTTTCTGTAAGGCAAATGTAGCCACATGGCTTCCTGTTGGCTGGAGCACGAGAAGCTCAAGCCTGTGTCTGCTCAGAGCTAGAGCTGAGCAAGATTGTGTCATCTGGAACATTCCTTACAAAGCTTCAGAACTGTGTGACTGACTTGTCTCCTGGTTAGGTGAGTCTCAACAGATATTTTGAAGCTTTTTATCCCAGTGTGTGAACCTGAGAAAAAGAAGCAAGAATTTTACAAACTGAAAAATCATGAAGAAATGTGAAACTTCCAGGGATGTTGTTGTGTTTTAGCAATATTTTCTCATTCTTTGTGAGTTTTTTTCCCTAATATACAATTTTACTCATTTCTAGTAATTGAAAAAGGTAAACCTGAAAGACATGAAAAAGCTGAAAAGAAACCTCCTCCCAAAGGTATTTATACTACATTTTTAACAAGAATTTACATTAAAATTCATAAACTTTATTTTATTGCAACAGAGACTACAATGTGTACGAAAAATCAGCTACATGACACTATAATGAAAGTAAAATATAATTCAAATTAAAATGTTCCTGGAACGTTCAGGAGTTAGCGTTATGCATGATCCCTTTTAAAATCTGTTGAAATTTCAAAGATGGCAATTAAAGGTATGAACCACTGTTTCCCTGAAAAAGGAGTAGGCCTATCTGTAAGTGATATAACATGTACATTTCATTATAACTGCTTAAGGAAATTGTTTCTTCACTAGCCAACAATATTTGGTCATGCCATGGCCTTTGGAAGTAGGAATGCCCTTATATATATGTCTTCATTTTGGTCTCACCAACCTCTGTGTAGCTTCAGCTGCTGATATTTGCATTTTGGTAATTCTTCTTTGAAACTTTCTTACTCTGCTGCAGAGTGCATCATGAATCGTCCTGTCTCAGACTAGTCTTTCAGCCTGGGAAACTGGCATAAAGAGAGACTCGAGAACTCAAGACTTCTTGGGCAGACTCAGTGTATAAAAGCAACCCTTACAAATAGCCACAATTTAACCAACTTCTTTTACAGTTTACAACAGAGTTTAGCTCATATCTTTGAAGTCTTAAGTTACTCAGATTTAGCCTGGAAGTATCTTCCATATTTGTTTTCTTAATGACCAAATTTATTTCCCTTGTTTATGCCATAAAAGATATCATATTGTCATTAGAAACATTTAATATTATTTGTTGTAGCCTACTATATTTGATATTAGTCAAATACTTGTTACATGACTGAAGACAAAACATGCTTGCATCTCATACTTCTAAGTCTGTGGTTTTGGGGGATTATAGATTTCATGAGATCTGAGCAAGCTGTTAATAATTAAGAAATAATCATTAATAATAGCACAAGATAAAATAAATGGTACTGAGTATTATTTTGAGGGGAAAGAATGACACTGAAAGTTTTTCTTTATTACCTGCAGAGGAGAAGAAATTAAAGAGTACTAAAGTGGAAGCAAAAGTTAAAAAGGAAGTGAAGGATGGAAAAAGAGAAGCAAAGACGGCTGAGAAGGTCAAGCAGACAGAGACTAAAACAACAGAAGTTGGCCTAATAAAGGCCAAACCAAAAGTTAAGGAGGAGAAAGCTCTTCAGACTGTAACTAAATCGGAAAAGAAAGGTAAACAAAACCAGGAGGAAACAGATGAAGATCTTAAAAAGGTGGTAGGGAAGAAGCAGAGAGAATGGAGCTAAATCTGGCAAGGACCAAAGTCCACCCATGAAACAAAAAAGTGCAGTACAAATATATTCCCAATGAATCTCACATTGCTCAGAGGAGACTATCAAGAATTAAATAAGTTTAATCTATATAACCAGAACGTTCTAGCTCTTTGTCATGGCTAAAGATCCATTTTGATTTAAATCCTTTTTTACCAAGGACCAATTTCTCTTCATACAGGCCTGAGTCTTCATGGATTTGCTCAGTAGCATCTTATGTAGTATATTGCTAGTGGAGTTATTTTGGAAAATACAGACTGCCCAATGATTTGTTGTGAATTTTATTCTGTTTCTACATCTGCATATATCCTTCATAACAATACAGAAAGCAGAAGCAGAGGAAAGGGAATGTAATAATTTGTCTTACATCAGATTATATGAGGCATTGTTATGTTATCAGGTATTGTATGACATAGTGATATACCTGCCTGATGTAATTTGATGTGATCATCTTCCAAATTTCTCCTAAAAAGGAATGAAATGCAATTACCCTGGTGAAAGGAAGAAATTATGTGGTAAAACAAAAAATCAACATGTATCAACACCGAATGGGGGTGTTAACTATATAGTTAATGCTCTTCGTCAGAGCCAGCCTGGGTTCTCCCACTTCCCAGTTGCACTGACTGGTTTCCTGATTTCCCTGTGGCTCTTCCATGGCATTAGATGCAATCTTGTATGAATGAAGGCAGCAGGACCTGGCTCTCTGTACGAACCGCCACACTGAAGGCACATGATTATTCTGACATTAATAGAGGCAGCTCAGCGCTGCGTGGCACACCTATCTGATCCTTTCAGCTGATAACCACAGATGAATCGTTATGCCTGAGCATCAAAGCAGCCATCCCTGCCTGAATAGCTGAATCTGTCCAGGTAGATTCTCTCAGAATTTCGTAACAATCAGCTCTGGACCCCTTAGGAGTTGCCTAAATTATACATTTCTAGAAATCTGAGATATTTTGAGACATAATCCCTTTCTGACATAGATGGTGTGCTGAACTAGTATTTTTTTAACATTTATTTGTATTCTAGTTAATTTGGGATTTTACTTGAAACACTGGAACCTTTGAAGCATAAAATCAAAGCAACATCTTTCCTGTTGATTGCTGTGACCAAGGGGGAAGTTCAGCAAATTGTTGAGCTCCTCTTGGGAGGTGAAAAACTCTTTCAGGTTTTGTTTGCTCTGACAAAGTTTCGGTGGACAGTGGGATCCATTCCATACTGTTCAGGATAAGGATGTCAAAAAGCAACAGTGTGCCGATGAGGCACTTTACTCCCTGACAGCAAAATATTTTGAGTAAGTAGGGGCCAAAGATTACAGAGAGCAATAGAGAGTGGTAGTGATTTTTGTTTGTTGGATTGGTTTTTGTAGGATTTTTCCCCCCTTTAGTTGATAAATATTAGCAAAATGATCCATCTTAAGATCAAATATTAACAGTTCACTTTGTAAGTCTTCTTTAGAGTGCTACCGCAGTGACTACGCACTGAACCTTGGCAGATGAAAGTGGGAATGAGCAGCTGGAGTGGAGGAAAGAAGGACCCTCTTCAGCTGCCCTTATCATTGGAGATAGGGCTACACAGGTTCAGTGAAAGTTGCCTTTTCTACTTTCATCCTTCTTTTTTTCACCATAAGCCGCTGCTGCCCAGCTGGATCCTCTTAGAAAATTCAGTTCTATATTTCAGTCCCACTGTGACCCAAGGTGAACCTAATTTTGAAGTCAATGCAGTTTTGCCAAGATTTCCTGATCCTGCAGTCCTTACTTTTCCTTGATCAAGGGAGTAGTTCTGCCAGATTTTCTGCAACAATGTAAAAAATATAACAGTAATCACAGAAGAGTTATGATTTTCCTGATGTTGCATCATTCTTTACTCAAATTAAAATTAAAAAAAAAATAGGTCACATGAGGTCTAATTACAGAAGTATCTATGACTGTTTTTACAAGTAAAAATCTAGTCCCAAACTTTAGTGTGATTTATTAGTACTCAGGTGAATATTTATGTCACTATTACAGAGATAGAAGGTGAAAACTACAGTGTGAAATTCTTATTTTAACAGGCGAGTTTAAATGAAAATGAATTTTTAGCCATGAAGAGACACATGGAAAATCATATTAATTTATAATTCCTTAGGTTTCAATCTTTGCTGTTTGGCAAAATTCCCATGAACTTACATTGATGTTACAATGCATCTTATTGTTTCATATCCAGTAGAAACGCTATTTTTGTTATTCAGAGTTTAACACTCTGCTTTTTTTTTTTTTTTTCCAATAAATCCTAATTTTCAGGGGTTGAGTTACTAAAGAAATCTTATGAGGAGATTAATACAAAATTTTTCTTCTCAGGTACAATCAAGATTAAGGCTTTTTTAAAAAAAGTTTATTCAAATTACATTTCCACAAAAAAAACCCACCTCCAAACAACAACAACAACAAAACCTCCGTAAACACCCACAGTCTATTTTAATCCTCGTCTGTATTACTATGTTTAAAGAATGGATTATTTTAATATCAGTGAAATGGTGTGAGCTGCCAGGCCCCCAGACTACGTCTATGTCATAACCTAAATAGAACTAGCACAGGCTTGGGCTCTGTCCTGTGATTGCCTGTACAGCTTATGTCTCCTAACAAAGTTTTGTCTCATGCTGTCTAGCAGTCTTTAGTACAACGACCCAAAACGGGCCGGGGGCTCTTCCTAATGGGCAGCATGGATGAAGGCAGCTCGTTTTGACAAAAGAGGGGTAAGGAAAACTCAGGTTTGTAGACAAGAGCTGTGCCCTGACATTTGCTTTCTGGGCTAAAGAATTGGCGTTGGTCCATTTTATAAATACTCACTGAGGCCCTATTTGCAAGTGTGTAGAAGTGAGTGCACTCTGCTGACTTCAGTGTCTTTAGACGGTCTACTGAGAGTATAGATTTTTACCTACTTGTTTTCCCACACATATGCTTCTACTTTTTTTCAGAAAATTAGTGCATAGACTTAGGGCAGGTATTGCAGCCAAATTCTTCAGTTTCTTTAAGGATGGAATCCAAAGCTGGAGCCAGACAGAATGATAAATTTGAATTCCTAAGTATGAAGTAGAAACTGTTATGAATAGTCATTAAAGTTTTTAAAAGCAGTGTTTAGGGCCACAGCCCTGTGTACGTCCTGAAAGTTTTCCTCCAGATTCTGCAATACTGACTAGCATTACCCTCACCATCTCAGTAACAGGAAATAGCTGCATGGGCTCCTATTCACTAGTAGAAACAACTGGATATTTGCTGAGCTTGTCAAACCCTTCATAATTTCTACAACCACATAGGAAATCATGACTTGAAAGCTGCGGTTCTCCACCCAAGGACTTCTATGGCAGTCAACATAACAGAGCAGCAATCACATAAATGCCTCAGCATCAACTAATACTGATGCTCCAGTGAACTGTGTAAGAAAGCAAACAATACAATGAATGTTATATACTTGGGAACATCATTTTGTATTTAAATACAACAGTTATGCCATTGTAAAAAATTTTAAGTATTCCAAAGTCTGCATGATTTTGTTTTGAAGTTGGCAAAGAGAAAGTAAGTGGCATTGTAGGTCAGTAAGAGGGAGATGCAACTGGAGGTGGAGAGAGATGTAACTTCTGTAGCCTAGGAAGTATGCTAGAATAGTCTAGGACAGACAGATGAATATGCATCTGTTGTGAACTAATTTAGCTAACCAGAGTTGGCATTTAGGCATCAACATTAACTTTCAAAGCTAGAGTCCCTTAGAGTCCATTGAGCAATCCACCTTTTTGTGGCCAGCTGGAGAACTCAACAATATTGCAATTCTTTTGCACTCGGTTACAACTGGTAATTTTTCTTTACCATTCTTAATGATAGAAATTTTTACCAAGGTCTGCAGTTCCACTTACGTATAGAAGAAATCAATAGGCAATCAACATGTTTGAATTCAGGGGTTTGTTTAGATTTGGAAAAATTAATTTCTGCATAGCATAAGCATAGTTTTAATATATATATATCTCCAGATTTAATAGATACATATATTTATATTCATAAAGATTAGTGTTTGGAAAACAATTTCATAGTTAAATGATAATATTCTGTGGAAAATCTCATTGCTACAGGAGTGTAAATACACAGAGTTCTTTTTATATTTCCATTCACTAAATGTACATATTGATTATACTGTTAAAACAGTATTAACAAAATACTGAGATATAAAACTTTATTGAATTTTTCTATCACCTGTCTGCAACTATTTGAAATGGATCGTCAAGGATAAGAAGAGACTTTGGGACCTGGGGCCAGGCAGCGGCTTGCACAGTCTTTGTACGTGGGGTCAGGACGTGCACTAAAACTGAGTCTGCACGCTGCTGACCTGGGGCACGCCCTGCGCCCTGCTGACCCAGAAGTGTGGTAGCTCTGGGGCACCAGTAGCTCTGAAGCTCTTGGCTGGGAGGCTTGAATTAGATCTGAACAATAAATTGTTGGTTTCTGAACATGTGAATTACTTGAAGGCCAGGAAAAAAACCCAAACATATAAGATTACCCCTGAAATGTGTCTTTGCACTGCCAAGCTTTATCTTCACTGTTAAATAGAAACAACATTTTAAATATACTTTCTTCATTACTCTTTTTTTCCCTTTTTGCTCTGTTAGATCAATATGCATTCTGTCGCTATGTGATTGACATGTTTGCGCAAGGGGATTTTTATCCAGGTACTTTCCTACATCATTGAACTCTATTCTAATATTCTTGTTTCCCTGAGAGTTTCTGCTCCTTTATGTATTAAAAGATTGTTTTGTATTGTTGAAAGGTCTCGCAAGTGCAACAAGGAGTGTGCAAATAGTTTTAATAAAGCATAAGAGCTAATGGCTGTATAATTAAAGCTTTTAATTTTCTGTTTACAATGCATGAATTAAAAATAAGGTTATGTTAAACATAGAGTCAATGGAAGGCTATAGAAATTGCTAAAATTTTCATGCTTTTTTTTGGCTGAGATGCAAAAGGAAGGAGCTTACTGTTAATAGCTTACTGTTTTTTTTTTCTCCACAAATAGTAGGCCTTAACCCTAGAACGCTTCAAAAATAGAATGGGCATTGTTGTTCTTAGTATATAAAATATCTTAGCTGACCCATCACTTCTGTGTTTTATCTTCTCTCTTTCCACATCTCCATGTTCATCTGTTCTAACACACTTAATTCTTAGCTAGAAAAAGAAGCTAGAGCTACTGATGATGACTGAGCATTGTCTCATAATATTAAGTCAATCTACCCAGACCTCATTTAATGGACAGTCTTCCTTCTGAAATCCAGTGCAAGATGATATACTATCGAAAGAACCTAATCCTAGGAACAATAAGCAATAATATTTATGGAAAGACTCAAAGATAGAGTATTTAAGGACACACTAAGCCTTACAAACTTTGCTTAGTCAGTTATTTACTCAAGAAGCTGAGAAACGGAGACTCTCAAAGTGGGGAGAGGGAGGACACAGTTTTTTGTGGAGGGGAAAAATGAACAATGTTGGGATTTTGTAGGGAGAGTATTTGCATGGGCTGTACTCAGAGTAACATGGAGAGATAGGGGGTTCCATTAAAAGAGAACAAAGAATATTACCTCTAAGGCTTTTAAAGACAGCCAGTTGTAAACAGAGGGACTGATCTAGTCTCAGAGTGTGAGAAAGGTTAGCAAAACCTTCAAGAGACCTTCAGTTACACTTTATTTTAAAATCCCCCCCTGCCCCATACCAGATGTGATTCACCCAGTTGATGGCTTTACACAGCTGTACCATTAATAAATCACAACACAGAGACTTGCATGGAAATCTTCAAGATCTCTCTTATAGTTCTCCTGACATTTGGAAGCAGCTTTGCCACATCAGAGCCTTTTTTTCCAGATGGCTCCCTAGGCTGTTTGACATTCTTCTAAGGCAGATGAGACATGGTGTGGGAAGGGAGTTTTGGAGAAGATTGCTTTTAAGTTTTGACTTTTCCAGCTACAAGGAAACTGGGAAGACCATGAAGGGGAGTAGAGAGATAGAGAGGGAAGTCTGTAGTGACTTGAATTTCGGAAGATAAAAGGCTGTCTGCTCTTGCCTTCCAATGTTTGCCTTGTGTCATTTCAGTGTGCTGTGACAGAGTTTTTCTAAGAAACCACAGGTTAAACAGCTGAAAACTGTTCAGTGTTCAATGGGTGGGCAGCTGGCCTTACAGGTGAACAGCCAGGGTGACAGCTTGAGGCCCCAGAAAGTGGAAATACATCAAAGCAGCTTAAATCATCTGATTTGTAGGTGAAAAGGAAGAGGACAGCCTCTCAATTTTGAGTCTCCAAAAGTCCGCCTGTGACTCCCCCTGTAAAACAACAGCTTTCTGACCTGATAAGTCATTTGTCAACATCTGAAGTTAAATGCTGTGAATGGTTGCTGTGATGGAGCCTGATATATTTTTGTGGGAGGTAACATAAAGCATTGCCTTCCAAATAAGCTTTAGTCAATCCACAAGCTGTGGAAAGCAATGCTGAAACATCCAGACCGTGTCTCTGAGAAGCAAGGTAAAGGCCAGGTATGACCAGCTCTGTGCCCTATATAGAAATCGTTAAGGAAAGTGCCACCAAACACCACTCAGTTAATGTTTGTTACTGTCTTTCTCAGGCAACATGCTCATTTCACACTGACCTTTGTGAACTGAAATATTACTGTAATTCATTTTCTTGAATAGATAAATGTGAGGAAAACACAAGCACACTAAGTCCCTTTAATAACCCTAATATCCAATTAGCTTTAAAATCTATTACATTTTATTCTTTTATCATTTTATATATTATATGGTGAATTACATTGTCCAAACAAACAGATCTGAGTGCAATTCATCTAAGGAATTTAGTTACAGTTGCCCTGACACCTCAATATGTTGAAACCAGGAATCGTTTCTGTCAAACGCGATGTTGCCATTTGTGAAGGAGCAAAACCACATTTTTCTCATACAAAATTCCTTCACATAGGTGTATTGGATTTTGTAGGATTGTTTATCCCAATATGAATTTCAGTCTTCTTGAGTTTATAAGGGCAATGTCCCACTCATCAGACTCCTTAGGCACAATATATGGATTTATAATATCAACAGTAAAAATATCATTCAGTATTTATTCTTTGATGGCACTTCTGCAATATTTGTATTATTGAAAAATTATTATTCATTACTAGCAACATTACGTTATTTTAGGTTTATATAAATTTTATGCGAGAATTTATGGCAAAATAGACTATTTAAGATGATATTTTATAGTGCTCAAATAATCAAAAATAAAACTCAGATCCTTGGGTTTCTTTAGATAAACTTTTCAAAATGTGTCATAGAATCACAGAATGGTTTGGGTTGGAAGGGACCTTAAAGACCACCTAGTTCCAACCTCCCTGCCATGGGCAGGGACACCTTCCACTAGACCAGGTTGCTCCAAGCCCCATCCAACCTGTCCTTGAGCACTGCCAGGGAGGGGCCAGCCACAGCTTCTCTGGGCAACCTGTTCCAGTGTCTCACTACCTTCACAGTAAAGAATTTCTTCCTAATATCTAATCTAAATCTACCCTTTTGCAGTTTAAAACCCTTACCCCTCATCCTATCACTACCCTCCCTGATCAAGAGTCCCTCCCCACCTTTCCTGTAGGCCCCCTTTAAGCACTGGAAGGCCGTTGTAAGGTCTCCCCGGAGCCTTCTCTTCTCCAGGCTGAACAACCCCAACTCGCTCAGCCTGTCCTCATAAGAGAGGTGCTCCAGCCCCATGATCATCTTCGTGGCCCTTCTCTGGACACACTTGAGAGGGTCCATATCTTTCTTTGACCCTGATACTGACTAGTTTCATGCAGATCCTCCTGTAAATTGTAATATTTCTATCAGTATCAATCAACTTCTGAGACTTCCATTTTACTTCTTATAAAAGATCAGTATCTGAGGTTCTCACGCCTTTCTGATAGATATCAGTAGAATTTCAGCCATAAACTGAGATAAGTTTTGCTAAGCAAGAAGTGTATCTCATAAATATCATGTCTGCAACAGTGACCTAATCTGGATTCTGCTGAGATATTTATAGATAGCCTTCTTGAGCTCTACTATATACAGCATAAAAAATTGCTTTCTGATTTTATCTGATGAAGTATGGAGCTTGAGAATATTTTTTACTTTCT